CAAGAACGTGCTAAACTTTGTCGTGAAAATTTGGCGAAATTCCGTGATGGTTCTTGGTGATTATGTGGTATTATAACAGGTGATGAGACGTGGATTTACCATAGGCAGATTCATCGCAAGTCAACAAATGCAAGCTGGGTTGGCGAAGATGAATCACCAACTACTATTATTCGTCGAGGTAAATTTGAACCAAAAAATTTATTTTCTATTTTCTTTAAATCAAATGGTCCTGTTCTTATACATGCTGTTGACGAAGGCAAGACTATAGATCACAACTATTATATTGAAAATTGCCTCAAGCCTGTCGTGAAGGAAATATTGAAACAAAGAAGGTCAGCAGGTACACAAGGTATCAAATTGCTTCACGACAATGCTCGATCCCACACTCATTCTGATGTTATTAATTATTTAACAGAACAACGTATCAAAATAATGCCACATCCACCATATTCACCTGACCTTGCACCATGTGATTATTGGCTAAATGATTACATCAAACGTAATTTAACTGATCAACCAGATGAAAAATCATTGGCTCGTGCGGTATCCAAAGTGATGAAAAAAGTTCCGAAAGAAGAATTTAGAAAAACTTTTGACAAACTATTAGAAAGGATGGAACTTTGTATAAATAATCATGGTGACTATTTTGAACATTTAATAAAATAAAACTCAAACTTTCTCTTTGTCTTTATATTTTTTTTAATAATCTGGGAACTTTTGGTCAGACCTAAGTATTTATCGGATTTATCATTATTTAAACAAATTATTCTTCAATTTTATCACATTGAAGAAAATATTGATTTATCAGATCATGTTATCTTTGAACAATATCGAGCATAAGTTGATACAACATTATGATCAGCTTTTTCTCAAGATACATTATCGTATGTTACACGGCAAGCATGTCATGAATTTAGTGCATGGATATCAAGTGATGTTGCACATGATTTAAATGGTCTTCGATGTATACATCAATGATTTCTAGTGAAAATGGTTTAACAATTGAAAATTTAGCTATATTAAGAGCATGAGATGATGTTTATAATGTTGCAATAATACGACGAGAGGAAGAAAAAAAAATAATCGAAATAGTAATTTATTAATATTAATGCAACAAGAATTCAATGTTCTTACACATCATTGACTTTTAATATTAACTGATTATGCTTTTTAAATTATTTCTCTTTATCATTTCTGCTGTAGCGAAATTTGATTGATCTTCATGATTATCTGACGTATTTGAACTTGATTCATCCTCATCATCACTATTTTCATTAAGAATTGTTTTTCGAATTTGTTTATATTTATTTTCATTAACTTCATATTCTTCATCATATTTGAATACCTCTACATAAAAAGAAAAAAATGAAATATTTTATTAAATTGAATGTTTATTTACCAAGTATACTTTTAGGATCACATAAATAGAGTAATTCCAGCATATGTGTATATTAACCATTTTCATAAACTAAATCTAAACCAGATTGAATAGCTGGATGTGCCTCAAATTCATCTCTTCGTACAGTAAATAAATCTCTAATCATATGTTGTGTATGATTATTTAATGATGGTTCACGAAGTAAATTGCTTAATATTGAAAATGTAGAATCTAATTCTTGTCGATTACCTTGTAATAATTTTTGACCACATTCTTTTAATAATCTAACAGCTAGTTCAACATTATCATCAGTATAATTCCGAAGTACAACATGAAGTACTTGTATGGCAATTAGTTCATTTAAACAATAGTAGAATTGTTTTGTTTATTAAAAAAAATACACACCACTCTTTGACTAATAAGGATGTGCAAGAAATTTAGTCATTGTGAGACAGTTCTCTTTTTCATCAGCCATATATGAATCACGACATAATTTTATCACATGTTTACAAATTAATTCACCGATTTAGGGGAATTTTGAGTTAATAATAGACATTAATGCAGCATAAACAGAAGCATTAGATGGTGACATAATTTGTTCATTAAAATTTCTTCTGAACATGGTATAGAAGAAAGATTTGATTTCATACTCAAATATATTTCAAGTATGTGTCTCTGGTACGATATGATTGTTTTTTTTCTTCTTTCCTATTATTCCCAGATAATTCATTATTGTCAATCAAGTTCAACAATGATGAGTTCATGAAAAAAGATCAACAATTTTTATGCAAAGTGACTTTAACATCTTTGTTTGATTGAATTACAACTTATCCATTTCTTATTTCAGACTGCTCTCGCACTGATATTTATTGCTTTATCAAACGAGTCATTATATTGGCAAATCAATGAAAATAATAAAGACTTACACTACGATCTACATCGTCTAAAAGAAAACTGTCTTGATGATCTTTTGGTTTTAAATATCAGTAAGTAAATTGATTTTCTTTTTTTCCTATTTTTCATAAAAACAAAACCTTGTTCAAAAAAAATATTTGTTTCTTTTCATATAATTTAGTGTTTTCATCTTTGTAGGTAAATTGATATTTGTTGATGAAGCATCTTGTCACAGTTCTGTACCTGAAACACAACACCTTCAAGTACATCAGATTCATACAACTACTAATGCTCATCATGATATCAATGTTCATAAAGCACCCAGTGTTATTCAAAATTTTGGTGGTCAAAGTGATCGCCATAGCTATGATGTTAATTCAAGTCTTGATTTTGGTAAAGTGCATCATAATGAAAAAACTACTAATCCTCATGATCATATTAATGTTCATAAAGCACCTAATGTTAGTCAAAATGTTGGTAATCAAAATGTGATCGTCATGACGATGATGTCGAGGTATGTAACCAGTGCGCCATAAAGAATGAGCGTCTCAGTATTTTCTCATTATCTTCTTCAGTTTTCATAGTTTTGTACTGAGTGTTTTTTTTCAAAAGATTCAGCGTTTGATTCTCTACAAAACTATATGTAAATGATTGTCACGAGAATGATAGTAAAAAAATTTATCATAGTAATATTATAAACATGCAACATCAGCAACCTTCGGAAGCATGAAATTCTGTTCTCTTGTATTTATGTGTTCTCGCGTCGGAGTATATAGACGAATTTCGACAAAGTGAGCTATCTATTTTGTAGAGCGTAAAAAGCTCTTCCTTATTAGTGTGTTAAGGAATTTTTACAGTGAAATTTTATCGTATAAATAAGCGTTGAATAAACCTTACTTTTTTTGCAAATTAACAAAAAAGTGTATTTTTTTTATCAAACTCGAAATAAATAACTTTTAGTTACCGGTTTTTTATGCAATAAGCCTTCTTCATAAAAATTTTTCAATATACTAACAAGTAACGTTCATCGACATTCAATGTCGATTTACTTGGCCCTAGACTGAAGGAATGATGACAAAGATGTCCTGATATTTTTAAATAAAAATGAATTCTGTATAATGATGAGTTTAGGCGAAATTATTAACAAGGATTTAGTATGATTTAGGGACATAGAACACATATAAAGTATCTTATGGCTTTATGAGACAAGTATCATTCAAAAGAGAAAACTCTTAGAGTCATATATCGCGGATGCCTGTTGGATTTAGATCAAGCTAGTGATCAATACTATGCTTCCTAACCAGTATACATGAATGGTGTTCCAAACCTTGATGCTTGAAACGAATTAAAATCCTAGTACTTTCAATGTTGACTGGTATAAAAAATTCTACAATATTGAGAAGCAATTGATTTAAAAAGTGCTGCATCTGATTTCGCATTCTCCACGAATCATTCAATTCTGTATGATGGTCAATTATCGATATTGGTACCGTGAAAAAGCTACTGTGAAATTTTGATCTGTTGCGTCATATCCTATTTCAATATAGCACTAATACGAAAATTCATGTACCTTGTTCTATTGCTTTCACAAATTCTATTGTGCACACGATTCATTAACTGACTCGACTTAATTTCCTCCAATTCTCAAATATTTCGGTGCCTGGGACATCCTCTTAACAGCAGACTGCAGCCCGCCACATTATCTGTCTCACCAAAACAACATAAAACACCTCATTCACAGGACAACCGAAACCAAGGCTAGGAAACTAATCGACCGGTTCTCATAAACGACACCCATAACAAACTATCTAATCGACGAGAAACACATTGATTTCCATGATACATTAAACACATTATGAGTAACACATTGTCAAATGTGCCATAGAAATGCACATATGTGCCAAAACAATGGTCATTTGTGCTATAGAAATGGCCATTTGTGCCATAGAAATGGCCATTTGTGCCACAGAAATGGTCATTTGTGCTATAGAAATGGTCGTGTGTGCGACAGAAATGGCCATTTGTGCCAAGTGCTTCTTACAGACAGACACAGGTGAATTACGGTTTCTAGATCCTAGCCTTTCAGTCTAGGGAAAATGGAGTTCAAAAAAAAACGCTGTCAAAGATGGAATATAATCGTTCTCACGAAGAAATTCTTTAAAAATGCATTTCAGATATTTTGACAAAAATGGAAACAAACATTGAGTTATGTGAAAGTTTTTTATGTTCGTATATGTCTCATCTTAGTGCTACAAACAACGCTGATGGTTGCCACACTAATTACTGCTTATATTCACCAAAAACCTTAAAAAAATAAATATTACTTTGATATTCATTATTTTAAACGCAAAGGGTTCTAACATAATTAGTTTATTTTAAAAAATGAATTGTGTCTAAAAATTTTCTTTGAATATAAATCATCTTTTACGTCTGTTTTAGAACTATGAATTTCTTCTATTTAATCAAATAATTAGATCATAATGTCTGTGCTAATATACCCATTGGATCTGACAATTACTTTCTCGATATAGGACTATTTTATGTTCTCAAAGATCAGACTCAATCTATTCAAGTCAGTGTAAAAGTAAACGCAAATTTTCTTGCTATGCTTGGTCAATTAAAGGACCAGAAATCTGTTGATAAAAAAAAAAGCTTCCGGGAATCTTTTTGATTAGACTAAAGAAAAACAAAAATAAGAGAAGCAGATAGAAATTTTTCTATTAAATATCCCGACAGATTGTTTTTGACATTGTTTACTTCCTTTTACATAAACAACATGAAATCGATTAATGAGAGATGGATGCAGGTGTGAGATAGGTGAAGACTATATTCACACCTGCACCCATGTGATTGAAAAACGCATTTTCGACGCGAATAAACGCGTTATTGTTGTAAACAGCGACATTCTGACCCATTTTTACGCGAAAGAGTACTGCAAACGCTGCTAAATGAGTCGCACGCTTATCGTCTGAACGCGTTCAGAAGGTTATTGGTCGTTCATCAGCGCTAATAAAAACAAATGCGTCTAGACCCGCATTCAAACGCGTTGGTATGCATTTATCTCGCATTATACTCAGATTTCTGTGTTATGATTAAGAAAACGTAGCCGTCTCCGAGTAAAAGCGTCTTCTATCGATGAAAACAATAAAATCCACCTCACTGAGTACTTTATATTGACTCAAAAAACGTTACCACAATGCATTTGAATGCATAAGTTGTTAGCAAGCCGGCGGGTGCTTGGCTACAATATCAGTCTTTATAGCTACACATTATCAATCAGCAGGGCAATTTATATCTAGAATAAAAATGTAAACATGAGCCTAGCAAGATTACAATTGAGAAAACTGGGTGTTAGTATTGTCTTCCAGTCACCCACACCCAAACCCAGACTAGCACCCCTTTTTTTCAAAGATTTCTACATGGTTCGATAGAAAACATTTTTTTCTATCTACTGGTGAAAAATCTGCTTTTGTCCGACGTACAATAATTGAGCTGTCGCTGAAAAAAGTCGATTTTGTTTTACTGATTCGAATTACACCAGGTGACTATATATGATTTATTACCATTTCAATTTATACAAGCAGAGAGTACAACAAATAATTCCTTTTGTACCAAAAACAATTGTACTTATTAAAACAATCCTTACAACAATAAGAATAAATAAATTTGCACTATGATCATCAACAGACTTCCTATGATCAACCGATGTTTGATTTGATATATAAAATTATGGTGATAAAACATTATCACGATCGGATTTCATGGAATATGACAACTTTTCTTTTCCAAATCAAAGCATTTCGTATCTGTTGTTTTTTAAAGTTTTTATTGACAATAAGAGAAATCTGTAGACGAAAAAGAAATTTATCCGTACGAACATGAACTACGTACTTCATTGTGCAATAATAAAACGCAAAGAAAACAAAAAAAAATTGTGATCTATCCATTTATATTCTATATAATTATAAACTAGTGTTTTATTTTTTAGTACACTTTTAATCGAATGATGTTTTATTTTTTCTTTCACAGCGTGCTTATTAAATTAGACAGAAACTGTAGTTGAATTTTTCAATGCAATGTCTGCCTCCCCACAACCATTCAAGAGGAAAACATTCTACTTTGCATTTAACTGTACTTTAGGCTACTCTTAAGTATTGCTGACACTAGACCTAAAGAGGTTCCATTATTTTTTCAATATTTGGGCACTACATGCAGAAGTTTTCATTGGAACACACCAACTGCTGGAGGAACGTCGATCTGCAATGAATTCTATTTGATTAACGATTGGACCAAGCAATAACAGATCCTTCCTTCAAAATAATAGAACCAAACTCAAAGAGCACAGTACTTGCAAGGCGCACCTGGTCCAAGCACACATATGAGGTCAGATCACTTCTTTTTGTTCTAAGAAAAATGAGTTAAATCGATTCAAGACTAGAGATGCAACGGTGACAACTGCCCATCGTCCAGCTGTCCACCGATCCTATGGTGGGCCGGTGGATAGCTCAATCTCACCGTTGCATCCCTAAAAGAAACAGCTTTATGTTTCGATGAGCAGAAATAATCTCTACTGACTTATTTTTTAACATCATTTACAGCTGTCTGTCATCCGTCATGAGGTTATTATTGGACAACGGATAATCTATCCGGTTTGTTTCTTTTTCAGTTTCTGAATTAAAATCTATCATTAATACATAGATGAATTAAGAAGGAATGATTCATTGAAACAATTAAAGTCTTAGCACATACTTACGAATGTGGATGTAAATAAAGATAAGAGTAAAATCCAGAAAACCACTTTTCATTCATTCACCTACCGAAATCAACATTGCCACCGATAGCCTCGACAATGTCAATGATCGTAACTATAAGAAAAAAGTGCTTATGTAAGTCTCTCAAAAACAGACTTTCTTCGATTTGGAATGTTTCAGTAAAAACACGATGAAAAGGAAAATCTTTCAGTTTTATTTATTTGTAAAAACACTTTTGCAACAATGAAACGTCTTGACATAATCGATGATAGAATTAGAGCCATATTTGAATCCCGCGAGAAAATCGCAGTCGATAAGGTCGACTAAGTGGCCGTTCATGTAGTTGCCGTCGCATCAGATGAGGAAAACAAGATGATTTCGATGAAAACCAATAGTCAAAATTTATAAGAAGTGAAACAAGTTGTTGCAGATGATCAACAAGCAAACGAATAAGATTAACAATATACTCTGTACATCTATGTTTAGCATCCAGAAGATGTGAAGTTCCTCTGTTCGATACATGAAATGAATCATAGACACAAAACGAAACTTTTTTGAGATTAAATTGTAGATTCGAGAGTAGCGTGCAAAAATGTTGAGCATTATGTAAACTTATTGTACGATCGTTGATTTGAAATGATTTAATCTATTAAATAAGACAAAAAAAAATTGATTTAAATAAAAATCAATATACTTATGTGTTCATTATAGAATCAGTTCACAAGTTTCTAACAATTCTTTCGTTTCAAAATAAAATTTAATTCTTTTTTATTGAAAAATATTTCGTTGAAATCGAAAAAGAATATTCATCAAATCAAAATTGGCAGACGAATTAGTTTTAATGAGATTCTTTTTGTAAAATCGAAAAACTTACTTGTCTATTAATAAGAGTTCCAAGATCGACAATGTTTGATAAAATAGCATGAGTTAGAATACCATCAAGCTCATCTATTTCTAGTATATCAACGTTGTAAGTCATTTGTAATAATGCTTTTAGTTCAGATTGAGTAATCAGAGTATCACCCGTAAGTGTCAGTTTTTTTTAACAATGACCATGGAACAAATGACTGCATAGAATTTCTAGAATAGTCTATATCTCGAAGAGGAATCGTGAGCGTAAAACCACTAATGGATAATTCATTAGCTCTTGGAAATGAATCTGCTGGATTGATTGGCATATGAGAAGATCTAGATACAAAAAAAAATACAAACATATTTCTATAGACCTCTTCAGATGGGTAAAATAGCTTCTACATACACTTGCAAATGTTTGGAAAAAAAGTACGTTTCAAGCTTTGTACCATTATATGGCAATGTATATACGACAAAACAATGATCACGTTAATCAAGCATACAATAGTTGCATCCTTGAATAATCATCATCGGTCGTTCTCGACGGCCAAATGGAGCTTTTATAAATGAGTTAAGAATCTTTTTTTCTACCAAGTCATCTTCGACATGGAGTGATAAATCGAGAGCATAAGACGCCGATGGTTTGAGACGATCGATACAGGCTTGTTGAATCATATCACCCGATATGAATAATAGACCAGATATTGTTGTATATGCATCTATACTTAAAAATAGATGATTAAGTTGCCCAAATACAGATGATAAAAGTGCAGTTGTTCGGTGAAAACTTATGCCACCGATAC